TTGTTTACTTCTGCTTGACCGGGACCATAAGTTGAACACATTTCGCCGTAGAGTTTCCGTCTACACTGCCCAAGACACAAAACTCTGGTTTCTTGTTGAACACGCTCGCTGCGGTTGACGTCGTCGTGTCTCCAGTGTCACATGTGGGACACTTTTGGGCCGTTTAATGTTCACACTGGAGTCACATACAAGTTGCAATTATTTGGAAATGTGAACGACCTCACAAAAACATCAGATTTCACAAAAAAAATAAATAAATCCAAATTGAGCATTAAGCCGTTCAGTCTGAACGTAGCCTAAGACCCGAGTCCAAGTCTCCACCTCTGATTCTTAAAAATACCAGACTTTGTGCATTATTTAACGTTCTTTCCTTCCTAATTAAAAAACAGACGTTACTTCCGACTCGACTTGACTCCCGTTTCTCCAGATCTCCTTTACTCGTAATTTCCCGGCCCGTGACTTTGTCCTTGTACTTGAGTAATCCCGCGGTGTCACTTGAGTTATAATATGCGTCTCGTGTCCCGTCTGAGGGTCTGAGGGTCTGAGGGGGACACTCGAGGAGACGAGAATGTAAACAATGTAAACGTGAACGCAGAGGTCACGACGCTGTCAAATAACTCATCCATTTTATGTTTTTAACTCCTGCGTTTGTAATAAGTCACCTTGTTTTACCTCGTTGGAAATTATTAACAAAAAACAAACAATAAAAAAGGCCAAGTGGGTTTTATATGTTTGTATGAATTTTTATTTCCAAGGCGTTAGTGTAATAAACAACATTTTCTTTAGACCATTTTTACAACATTAAACAGGTCGTACTTTCTTTTCAGTTCCTATGTGTCTTTATATTTGTGTAACCCTCAGTGGTCCAGGTCTAAACCAGGTCTAAACCAGGTCTAAACCAGGTCTAAACCAGGTCCATGGGCGTATACTCGTCTCTGTGCTCTTATACTTGTTCTGATCCAGCTCCAGATCATTCTAAACACATTCAGGAAAGGTTCACTTTTGTCCCGTGAATGGACTTTTTTAGTATTGATACCTGCGAAAACGAGTATCTAGTTTCGATACTCGTTTTAGTATCGATTAGTATCTGATTTCCGATACTCGTCATGACCAGTAAACACATTTGGTTTGGAGCAGAACAGAGACGTTTCATGACTGTATGACACTGAAAATCTTTTCTTTAGTGTGTGAGCTCGCCCCTCCACAGATCTGAGGCCAGATCTCCTCGTCAAAGCCTGACCTCAGATCTCTGAAGCTCAGCAGGGCCGGGTCTGGTCGGGACTTAAGACTTAAGAAAACTGTTGTGTACTTGGGCAAGACACTTCACCTACATTGTCTAGTATAGTCCTATTCGTACGGGATTAGTTTTACCTGTGGACCTTTGGTGATTTGTAATAATTGTGGACGATGCCTGAGATCTTAATACCGTGTGAATGCGCCATGTCTGTAATGACCTACTATATTTCTCCAAACGCAGACGTTCCGGTGATAAAACGAGTCCTGTATGAATCTGAATCCGTGTATCGTTCGTTCATTCGTTTTTCAATGTAAAACCAAAAATAAGAAAACGAAAAAACAACAGTTTTCTTCATTATTTGTCTCCAAAACCAAAATGAAAAAACGGATAACGATTCGTTTTTTCAGTTTTCGATTTTGTGTTTAAACGAAAAATGGAAAAAACGGATAACGGCCATTTCCCGTTTACGTGACTTCAGTGACTGTGATGCCGAACTTTTGCACCGCATACGAACTGAACCAGGACTGATCCAGGTCCGAGACCAGACCGGGACCAGAGCGGGACCAGACCGGGACCAGAGCGGGACTGAGACCGGGACCAGACCGGGACCAGAGCGGGACCAGGGACCAGAGCGGGACTGAGACCGACCGGACCAGAGCGGGACCAGACCGGACCGAGGACTGAGACCGGGACCAGACCGGGACCAGAGCGGGGACTGAGACCGGGACAGACCGGGACCAGACCGGGACCAGACCGGGACCAGAGCGGGACCAGAGCGGACTCCGAGCCTCAAGGGGGTCCAAGCCTCAGCTTCAAGCTCCGGTCCTGCCGTGGGCTCTGAGCCTCCGGTCTGGTCCCAGTCTGGTCCTGGTCTTGTCTCGGTCTCTGTTCCGGTCTGGTCCCGGTCTCAGTTCTGCTCTGGTCCCGGTCTTAGTTCCGGTCTGGTCCCGGTCTCAGTTCCGGTCTGGTCCCGGTCTCAGTTCCGGTCTGGTCCCGGTCTCAGTTCCGGTCTGGTCCCGGTCTCAGTTCCGGTCTGGTCCCGGTCTCAGTCCCGCTCTGGTCCCGGTCTGGTCCCGGTCTCAGTCCCGCTCTGGTCCTGGTCTGGTCTCGGACCTGGATCAGTCCTGGTTCAGTCCGTACGCGATGCAAAAGTCCGGCATCGCAGTCACTGAAGTCACGTAAACGGGAAACGGTCGTTATCCGTTTTTTCCATTTTTCATTTAAACACAAAATCGAAAACTGAAAAAACGAAGAAAATTGTTCTTTTTTAGTTTTCTTATTTTTGGTTTTATATTGAAAAATGAATGAACGAATGATACACGGATGAATCTGCATCTCAGTGTTTGTTGCTGTAATTCTGCGTCTTTTCTATCTCTTTATTTTCTTGTCGTGTTCTTTTCTCTTTCAATCTCAGTCAGTGTCAGTAAAACAGAGTCGTTTACAGACTTTGTTTATACGTGCGAATGTGCTGCAAGTAACACAGACGTGGGACGGGAATTTGCAAATTACCAGACGTCCCCAGGTTGGGTTGATCCTGTGCGAAAAGGCCTTATGAAAGTGGAGTGTGTGTGAGCGTTACTGGTGGTCAAAGGGGCGATGGCGCAGATTGGCAGCCTCACTTCCATCAGTCGTCTCAGGGCAGCTGTGGCTACAATAGTGTCTCACCACCACCGAGTGTGAAGTGGGGGAGGGGGGCGGGTGCGACGCGCTTTCTGCTACGTCATAGGTGAATCTGCAGCGTCACTGTTGTAGCAGCTTTAGTTCGTTGTCGTGTGGGAGGGAGGCAGAAATACACTGCAATTTGTTTAAATAAAAAAAAAAAAGAAAGCTCTGAAAAGTTGCTTTTGCATGAGATGGGCCCTTTAAAATAAACAGGGCTGATCTACTGAGAAGTGAAATAGATGATAGGAGAAGATTTGTTAAATGTTTCTGTAATCAATAACTTCACTTAAAATCACGTGTTTAAATGTTTTTTTCAGTCTTACAAAAGATTTATTTTGGGCGTCTTTATGCGATGAATAGATCAGTTTAATTGCAGTTCTGATGGGACATAAATGTCCGTCCATGTGAGGTCAGGTTCATATCACTGAAGTCACAGCAGAACGACTGGAAATCTGTGATTGGTACAACATCAAGTGCAGTCGGTGCAGAAGTTCCTCATGGGGCAGTTCTCTGTATATTGGGGTTTTATCCCAGTGATTTTGTTCTTAATAAAAAACAAGTGACACTGGTGGATTTTGGTCCTGCAGACCAGGACGACTGTCACTTTATTTTGGAAAAATGTGGATGTGCCTCCTGTAAAAGTTTGGACTGTGGAAATGACGTCTTGTGTTGGAAAGACTCACGTTTATTTAGAGGAAAAGCTGAGGACTTCGAGGACATTTGGAGACTTTTACTAGAATTTTTGAAAACTAAGTTATTTTTACTGCGACATGTACAATACTGAACGTGATATGAATATTTACAAGTTTTCATTTTATTATCAGTGATAATTGTCTGTGTGTGATCAGTGTTTTTATTGTTTTTGTTCTGTTTTTTTTTTTTTTTCTATGTTTTGTTAATATTTTAATATGAAAATCATATATATATATATATATATATATATATATATATATATATATATATATAATATATATATAAATAAAATTATATATATATATATATATATATATATATTTTTTTAAATTAATTTTATTTATTATATTATTTTTATTTATTTTTTTTTTTTTTTTAAATCTGCATACAGACTTCTATATATAAAAAGTGACAAGATTGCTCTGTATAAGGGTCAGTCCATATGAAATCAGCAGTTTTCAAGGAATCTCCTCTGTGAGCATCTCCAGTTGTCTTCCCTTTGAACAAGCGCATAGTGTTTCAGTCTATTAAAGGTAATTTCATCTTTCAGCAGGTGGAAAAGTCCCTAATCTCCACCGAAAATGACCCGTGAGAGTTCATTTTCAAAAAATTTGGTTTGAAATGAAGGAAGTTAATAGTAGATGTGTTTATTACTTTAAAACTAATCAGAATATGCCAAAGATCAGATCAGATAAGAAACTACTAAAGGAAAAAGTAAGAGGAGTCAAAATCCTATAGGGGGGGGGTTTTACACCCCGGGGTCAATGTACTGTGGGGGTCAAAATATTATCTCACAGCGAACTCTGAGACATTCACAACGAAGCAATGACATGTCTATGGAGTACAGTAGTAGTAGTAGTAGTAGTAGTAGTAGTAGTAGTAGTAGTAGTAGTAGTAGTAGTAGTAGTAGTAGTAAACCCTGCACCAGAAAAGTGACACATTTAAGACAGTTTGAAGAGAGTCTTGTGTCCTCCAGTCTCCTCCTCCTCCTCCTTCGCTCTGGAGACACACGGACACACAACAGTCCTTTATGTTTCACTTTTCTCGTGGGTTCACGTCACGTTCCGCACGCACACGGACGATTTAAACCCGTAAAAGTCTCACGGATTCACTCACAACACCGCGGCGTGACACAACCAGACCAACTCTTTTTTTATTTACATTCCTCCACTCGGTCCAGAGTGGAGTCGGATTTCTTCAACTTCTTGTTACTCACTCGCGTCTCACCCAAAGTTACGGTCAAACATGAATCAAAACGCGTTCCAGATAATTCAGATTACGTAATTTCAAAACTCCAGCGTGATGCAAACGCTGAAATCCGCGCGTGGGCTACGTGTCATTAATCTCCAAGACGCGCAGAGTGACATTGAAGCCGTGCGTAAAGATGAAAAAACATAACAGAACTCACCAGGAACCGGGTGGAGCTGGTGCCCTGGTCGATCGCGGCCACTAAAGGCTCCATAGTCCCGCTGTAGTCCCCCAAACAACGCGTTTTTCTGCGGCAGGACACGGGGAGAGGACGCGCACGGGGGCAGCGGAGAGTGCGCCGGAGACAGCGGGGAACTCCTCCTCGTGCCGCGCTGTCAGGACGCACGGCCGGGACGCACGACGCACACACGGGGGGCGGGGATTGGAGGGATGTTAGAGGCGTGATGCGTCGCTGGCCAATCGGATCCGGGGGCTGGTGAAGCTTGGGCGCGTCCTATTTCCAGATTCTCGTGACTTTTTTTTTTTTTTTTTTTTGCTCAGATGCGACTCCTACTCCTACTGTGAAGCATTAACCCCGCCCACCGTGGAAAAAAAATAAGACTTTCTGTTGGTTTTCTATTGGTTTCTTCTCCGTTGTGGGCGTGGTCGAGAGCTGAGGAGTCGAGGAGTTGTTGAGGATTTGAGGTGAGGAGGCAAGGGAACAGAAATAGGACGCGCCCCGTTCTATATAAATACATGGACCGCATCCGCATTCTTTACCAAGGAAAAATGTAAAAGAATTAACTCAAAATAATAAAATAAATGTCATGTTTATTTGCAAAACATATATCTGCTTTTTTGTCTTTTATTATTATTATTTTTATTTTTTTACTATTTTTGAAAACATTGTTAGACAGTAAATAATAGAATTAACAACATCTAAATCATGTTTGTAGAAAAATGATGAAGTCTCTTGGTGTTTTGAGTAAATTTTGCTCCTGTATAAATGTTTCACACTTGATGACATGATATTATAGTTGAATCTTTACATCCGTACATGTATTTATTTATTTAGAGACAGGGACAGCGCACAATTTTTACATGAACCTTTTTCAGAAAGGCCCAGGCGACGCAGGGATCAAACCCAGAATGTTCTTGCTGTGAGGGATGAGTGCTAACCGCTCAGCCACCGTGCCGCATCATGCATTGTGACATGGTTTGGGGTTTTACATGTATGACATATCTCCACAAGATTTTATTAATGCAAAAGAAATGTTTCAGATTTATGAAGTATTCACACAGATCGTCCGCATCTGCTCCTCTGTCCAGAAAATACAATATTTAATGTATTAATGTAAACATATACTGTATTTGTTTGTTCATATTTGTCAAATGTTTTTCTTTTGACAGTTTTTTTCATGTACTTTTTCATGTACTGAGACACTGCAGAGATTTTTTAACTTCCCTTGTGCAGAACTTCCACAAATCCATCCATTTTCTTCCTCTTATCCGGGGTCGGGTCGCGGGGGCATCAGTCTAAACAGGGACTCGCAGACGTCCTTCACCACCAAGTCGAGTCTCGAGTCACTGGCCCGTAAGTCCAAGACAAGTCCAAGTCGTCTGCTTCGACCTTCAAGTCATTTCAAGTCTTTAAACCAAAATACCTAATACAGCTAACGTACATGAACATTCCCACAGACAGTGGCTCCTCTTTTCTGCTTCACTCGAGGAAAAACTAAAACTAAAACACAACACGACCCACGCCAGCCCATCTGTCCCACAATCAGGGAATAATTTAGCTCCATAAAATTCTTCTTTATAAAAGAAAAATAGATATTTTGCAATTTATATAATTTTGAAGATAAATTGTACTTAAAAAATCATAGTATATTTATGTATGAGTATTTATAGCGTTTATACAGATGCAGAAATGCTAATTTTGTAGAAATGTTAATTTTTCTTTTTTTTAATTTTTTGACAAGATCTTAGTGTGAATGATTATGGTCAGAATAGAAACAATTCAGATTTAAAAAAGCTTCTCGAATCTTCTCAAGTCACAGGCCTTAAGTCCGAGTCAAATTCCAAGTCATTGACCTTCAAGTCCAAGTCGAGTCCCAAGTCTTAGTCCATTTTATCAAGTCAAGTCTTAAGTCCTAAAAATAGTGACTCAACTCTAAGACTTGAGTCCAAGTCACAACTTGCAAGTCTCCACCTCTGATTCTTAAAAATACCAGATTTTGTGCATTATTTAATGTTTTGTCCTTCCAAATTAAAAATCAGGCGTTACTTCCGACTCGACTTTACTCCCGTTTCTCCAAATCGCTTTACTCGTACGTTCCTGCAGAACTTCCACAAATCCATCCATCCATTTTCTGCCGCTTTATCCGGGGTCGGGTGGTGGGGGCATCAGTCTAAGCAGGGACTCCCAGACTTTCCTTTACCTCGGAAACTTCCTCCAGCTCCTCCGCGGGGAACCAAAGGTGTTCCCAGGCCAGTCCAGAGACAGAGTCCCTCCAGAGTGTCCTCGGTCTTCCCTAGGGCCTCCTCCTGGTGGGACGTACCCGGAACAACTCCCGACGAAGACGCCCAGGAGGCATCCGGAACAGACGTCCTCCCCTCAGCCGCTCCTCTCCACGTGGAGGAGCAGCGGCTCTACTCCGAGCTCCTCCCGTGTGACTGAGCTCCTCACTCTGTCTCTAATCTAATCTCTAATCATTTGTGTCGCTTGTATCGGTGATCTCGTCCTTTCTGTCGTTACCCAGAGCTCATGACCAGAGGTGAGGGGAGGAACAGAGACGGACGCTAAATCGAGAGCTTCACCTTTCGACTCAGCTCCTCTTCACCACAACGATACAGCGACCGCATCACTGCCCACGCTGCACCTGTCCACCTGTCAATCACACGCTCCATCCTCCCCTCACTCCAGAACAAAACCCCGACAGACTTGAACTCCTCCACTTGAGGCAGAGACTCTCCACAAATCCAAGAAAACTCAATTTAAAAGCCCGACCCTCTGGAATCATTTAGCCCAAACTCACAAATTGATTTCCTTTTGTTTGTTGATTTTCTTTTGTTTCTACCTGTTTGAAATGTTGTTGTTTTTTACTATATGTGCAAATAAAATCTAAATCTTTAAATAATAATAATAAAACACTAGCAGTTTGCTCTTCCAAGGCCTTAGGTTTCATTTAGACTTTTTGTTTTCAGTTTGTTAATCACCATATTCATCTGATTCATGTGTAAGCGTCTGAGTTTTGCATGTGTCTTTGAGTAAACTCGTGAGCAGCTGTCCTGTTACCTCGTGTTTCACAGAAACGACCAAAGTCTATAAATAACCGAGGGCTTTGTGCGGAATCTGCGTCTGCGCCACAACACCTAATATAAACCTCCCAGCGAGTCCAAGAGAAACGAGAGACGAGTGTAAAAAAGACACACGAGTCAGAATCAAACGTCTGCCAAAGCAAACAGAAGGTTTTTGTTTTATGTTCTAATGTCGTTTCCTCGTCACAAACACAAACAGACCTGCAGTTGTGTTTTGTTTTATTCACATGTTTAACTCACAAACCTGCACGTTTAAGCTGAGTTCTTCTCTCAAACAGAAAACACTTAGTTCCACCTTGTGATGTCATGTGGTGATACAATACAGGAAGTGCTCCACTGTGTTTTTAAACTCCACACACTGGTTTCAGCTCTGGAACTGCCTTTACTGAACTCAAGGTTAAATGGTAGCTGTTTTTGTTTTGTTTTTTTTAATTAGGCTGAATTATTTTTTTAATTTACATTTTTTATTATTTTTTTAATAGGTTGATTTTATTTTATTTTTTTTAAATTTTGTCTTTTTTTTTAGGCTGAGTTCTTTTTTATTATTAGGTTGAGTTCTTTTTTTAGACCGAGTTCCTTTTTAAATTTTTTAACATTTTTATTTTTTTTTATTAGGCTGTGTTCTTTATTATTATTAGGCTGAGTTATATATATATATATATATATATATATATATATATATATATATATATATATATATATATATATATATATATATATATATATATAGACTGTGCAAAGAGGCTCCTGAGACAGTCCAGCACATAACTGCAGGGTGTAAGATGCTGGCAGGGAAAGCATACATGGAGCGACATAACCAAGTGGCGGGCATAGTGTACAGAAACATCTGTGCAGAGTACGGGCTGGAGAACCCCAGGATCAAGGTGGGAAACACCTCCAAAGGTTGTGGAGAATGACCGAGCCAAGATCCTGTGGGACTTTAGATACAAACTAACAGGATGGTGATGGCGAACCAACCAGACATAGTGGTGGTGGATAAGAAACAGAGCAGAGCCGTGGTGGTTGGACATCGCAATACCAAGCGATGGTAATATCAGGAAAAAGGAACACGAGAAGCTAGAGAAATACCAGGGGCTCAAGGAAGAGCTGGAGAGAGCCTGGAAAGTAAAGGCATCAGTGGTGCCTGTGGTGATCGGACACTCGGGGCTGTAACCCCCAAACTGGAAGAGTGGCTTCAACAGATACCGGGAAAAACAATGGAACATCTCAGTCCAGAAAAGTGCAGTACTGGGAACAGCAAAGATACTGCGCAGAACTGTCAAGCTCCCAGGCCTCTGGTAGACGACCCGAGCTCAATGAGGGTGAGAGAGACCAACCACCGTGGAAGGTGAGAAACACATTTATATATATATATATATATATATATATATATATATATATATATATATATATATATATATATATATATATAAAAATGTGTATACATATATATATATATATGTGTATATATATATATATATATATATATATATATATATATATATATATATATATATATATATATATATATATATATATATATATATACACACACACACACACATATATTATAGATAGATATATATAGAAAAAAATCTATTAATTAAATTGTTCAAAAATTTCCCAGGTTTTAATCACTTTGGAGTCGGATGATAAGTGGATGGTTTTATTATCGTCTTGTATCTGCGACAGGAAAATGGGGAAGGTTTACAACTAGTGAATTTACTTTGTACTAGGCAGACTAATAATAAGAGTTACTCAAACGTGAATGAAACAAAACACAAGTCCAGGTCTGATTTTGAGGAGGGAACAACATTCCAGTCCATTTTACGTAGATTTATACAGAACCTTTAAATATTACAAAGGAGTTAATTGTAAAAATCATTGTTTATTTGGTCATAATTTAAATATAATTTTTTTCTTGTTATTGGGTCTCCTTGAATTGTGTCTGTGTGGAGTTTCCAGGTGCAGAGATTGTGGAAGCATGAAGCAGTTACGCCCTCTGCTGGTACATTTCACACACTGCGCCTGTTATCCAGAATCCAATCTCTTTTATTTTATTTTATTATTAGTATATATTTTGATTAGGCTGAGTTCCTTATTTTATTTTATTATTATTATATATTTTTATTAGGCTGAGTTCTTTATTTTATTTTATTATTATTATTTATTTTTTATAAGGCTGAGTTTATTTTATTTTATTATTATTATTAATTTTTATTAGGATGAGTTTTTATTTTATTTTATTATATAATTTTTATTAGGCAGATTTTTTTATTTTATTTTATTATTATTTATTTTTTATTAGGAGTTATTTTCTGTTAAAAAAAATAAATAAAAATAAAAATACTCTATACAAATTATGCATTAAATAACAAAAAATAATGGACAGAGGTGATGCCAGGGTTAGCCATAGATTTATGAATGTGGGATAGTCAAATTTTAGATACTAACATTTGGTACAGACACTGAGGGAATTCTTGATCCGTGTCCAATTTAACACAAACCATATTTAAGAAGTCTTAAGAAATGAACAGTTTATAAAGGTTAAACCAAATAAACATTATTTTCATGTTATATTTAAGCCTGGAGGTTCTCTACTTTTGAATCAAACACAAGAAACACATAGATTCTATTATACCCCAGTGCGTCTTCAGAAAATGTTCCGACAGCTCTGATCTTTGTTATAAATGTCAAAAATATAAAGGCACTTTAATACATTTATTCTGGGAATGTGAATATATCCAACAATTTTAGAGAGATGTACACGCTGTTACCCAACAGATTACAGGAAAAACTTTGTCATGTCACCATCACTGTATCTGTTAAATCTTTGTCCTGACAAACTTTTTGATAATATTACCCTGTTTATGTTAATGATTATGATGTCTTGTGAAATGTAAGAAAATGTTGTTCTTTTGAAGTGGGCAACACTGCACTTACCCACACGGACGTATGGTTCACTCAGTTATCATCAACCATTCCCCTGGAAAAACTGACTTATGAACGAAATGGCAAACAAGAAATGTTCTGGAAAATGCGGACACCTGCACACATGTATTTAAACAGGGCGACAGTGGCTCAGTTGGTGGAGCATTCGTCCACTGATCTGAAGGTTGGTGGTTTTGATTCCAGCTCTTGACATAAACATCACAGGTTGAGCGTCAGATCCACTGACCCACAGGTTGAGCTGGTGTGATTCCAGCTCCCACAGATGAATGCTGCCGTTGTGTCCTTGGGCAAGACACTTAACCCACCTTGCCCACAGTGTCTGTGTACACTAGTGTGTGAATGTGTGAGTGGTTCCTTGTTGTAAAGCGCTTTGAGCCTTGAAGGTGGAAAAGTGCTATAGAAAAATGTGACCATTTACCAAATATGTAATTTATTTTTTATTTTATATTATTATTATTATATATTTTTTAATGCATTTGTTATGGGTGTGTATATATTTCATTTGCATCACTATTAATGTTATTATTATTTTATTTTTATTATTATTTTCTGGTCATATTACTATTACTATTGTATTTTTATTTTATTATTATTTTTATTTTATTTATTTATTCTTAAAATGTTTATTATTATTTATTTATGTACTTATTTATTTATCTTTTCTTTCTCTTAATTTTATAAATTGTTGTTATTGTTATTATTATTATTATTGTTTTTATTAGTATTATTATTATCATTATTTTTATTTTATTTTTATTTATTTATTTTTTTATGCATCTGTTAAGGGTGGGTGTGGGGAGGGGGTTTAAATGAGGCATTTGTATACTTGTACATTTTGTGGCATTATTGTGCGGCCGTAAAACCACAATATAGGAAAAAAACAAACAAAAATAAAATAAAATATATATGAAAAAAAAAACAACAACACAAGAAACAGGACAGACGCAGAGGTTTGGGTACAGCACATCAGCGTTTATTCCATGCAGTTGTTCGCGCTGGTTTGTCCATTGCACTGTACACAGAATAGAGGACGAGGAGGGCGGCTTCGGGCTTGGAAAACCACATGGAGGCAACATGGAGTCACAGTTGGACAGGAGAATACCCCGTAAATACCCTGCTTTTTGTTCGCGTACGTCCGCAAAAAAAACCCGACGCGAACGACGCCCCCAAGTCTCTCGGTCCCGTCCCGTGCAATACTGTCCACCGATCGCTCCGTTGTGCTTCTGGGGGGTAACACTGGTCAGGAGAGGTCACCACAACAAAAGCTGCCGTAAATGCAAAAAGAACACTCATCGTAATAAATTAAAAGTAGAGAATTACATATGTAGGCCAGCTACAAAGAAAAATCATAATAAAGAGTTCCTTCGTTAAAACACTCGTACAGAAAGGAGACGGGTTTGTTCGAGAGGAGAGACGACGGTGGACGTGGTACGAAAGGCGTTTTGGACTTTTCCACCAAGCAGCAGGCGACAACGTTAATTCATCCGCGTTAGAACCTAGTTACCTTGTCAAAAACATACCAAGAGTTGTGTTTTATTTTATTCACACGAGCGTTATTGGGCTGCGGACATCTCCAAAAACTCCAAAACACTCCGTTCTACCGCGTAGTTCGTTTCTGAGCCTGATTCATCTTCGTGGAAACCGTGTGACCTCGCAGCATCAGGATTCGTTCGCTTGACGATAGGCGGGTACTTTTTTTTTTCTTTTTTACAAAATTTGTCTTTAATACAATCAGTTTTTTAAAACTTGAGCACTGACGGGTGTAAAAAACAAGGAAAATACTGGCTATTTATTGAATAAACGCATCAAGAATCTCGGACTTCTGGTCATCGCTCAATCCAGACTGGGAAGGATTTTTGTTTTCCCAGTGGGATGCGTCTATTGACAAAGTCGATCTTTTCGAGTCTTTTGAACCACATCACTTTTGTTTCTGGTTCTGATATTGTCATATTTTAGTTTTGGGATTCAGACATCGTAATCGTGTGGTTGTTGGATCCTAACAGCGGAAAACGGGTCGAGAAATTTGTTTGCGAACTTCATAAATGTAAAAGTGAATCAGATGTGTGTGACTCAAACCTCCGTTCAAACTGTTTCTCTTCCCGACAGAATTGAAAAATAGTGAAAGGTGAAGGTGATGGGCAGGATTGATCCACAGGAAGAACCAAAAAGGAAACATTTGTCTGACTAAGAAATCATCCAGAGTCTCATGAGTCAAAAAGTAAGAGTTTTTTCAACCTAATCTTGTACCATATGGTAGAAAACTATATGAAGCAAATATTCAAACCAGTTTGTTAAGGATATGTAAGTGAGAACCACTAGTTATATAAAAAATCTGCCCGTTTCCCTCCGTTACCACTTGACCGGACCCATTTATGGAGTTCGCAAACAAATTTCTCGAGTTGTTTTCCGCTGTTAGGATCCAACAACCACACAATTAACGATGTCCGAATCCCAAAAACTAAAACATGACAATATCAGAACCAGAAACAAAAGCGACCTGGTTCAAAAGACTTGAAAAGATCGACTTTGTCAATGCACGATGACCTGGATGTCCGAAACTCTTGATGCGTCTATTACACCGGATATTTCTCATAATACAACCGAGAATAGAAACAGAATACTGATTATTTTTGCGATATTCTCGACTCTGGAATAGTGCAGTCTTTCTGCTTGGTGGAAAATGTCCGATACTGGCGATTCTTGGAACTTATCTTAACGTCAACTTCAAGGGACAGTCCACGGTACATTTTTCTTCATATGATTATAATCATTACACCAAACTAACACTAGGGGGAGTTGTGAGCGGCCGGTACACTCACGCACATTTTAGGTTCACAGAAAAACGTCACATCCTCAAACAAGGGAGACATAACTCAAGTGCAGTGTCCCAGGTCAAAAAAAAAAACAACAAGAAAACAAACAATGCCCTTCACTTGTAAACGGAGAAACAGTAGAGGGGACGTGGGCAACCTTGTCGGCAATCTGTGTGTCATTTGTTCATTGTTTTTTTTTTGTTTTTTTATTAAAGCAAAAATAAGAAAATGAAAAAACAAACAATGGTTTTCTTCATTATTTGTCTCCGAAACCAAAATGATAAAAATGGATAATGATTTCAGTTTTCAATTTTGAGTTTAAATGAAAAATGGATAAAAAGGATAAAGGACTGAACCAGGACTGAACCAGGACTGACGGGCCCGAAGATGCGCCCACACAGACTGTCGGGTGATCAGGACTGTGACCAGGACCAAATCAGGAACAGACTGGGACTGAGAGCAGGACTGAGACCAGGACTGAGACTGGGACCAGATCAGGACCAGACCAGAACTGAGACCAGGACTGAGATTGGGATCAGACCAGGAACAGACTGGGACTGAGACCGGGACTGGGATTAGGACTGAGACTGGGAATGAGACCGGGACCAGACCAGGAATGAGACTGGGACTGAGATCGGGACTGAGATCAGGACCAGACCAGGACCAGAACAGGAGCAAGTCCAGGACTGAGATCAGGACCAGACTTGGACTGAATCTGGGACCACACCAGAACTGAGACTAGGACTGAGACTGGGACCAGACCAGGACCAGACCAGGAATGAGACTGGGACTGAGATCAGGACCTGACCGGGAACCAGACCAGGACTGAGACCAGGACCTGACCAGGATGAAATCAAAAAACTGAAAAAATTAATCGTTACTTTTTTTTTTTTTTTCATTTTGGATTTAGAGACAAATAATCGAACGTTTTCTTATTTTTGGTTTCATTAAAAAAAAACAACAACGAATGAACGAATGACACACAGATTCTTGTCTAGCACCATATTTCTACAACTTTTTTTTTTTTTTTGTCAGTTCAAACAAACATTTACCAAAAGTTTTATTGTCAAATTTTAAAACTTTTAGCTGAGTTTTAGCAACATAAAAAAACAACAACAATTCAACCTATTTTCGATTTTCGTTTATATTTGTTAATGAAATAAAAAGTGGAGGGCATTGTACGGTACTTATTTTCAATTTAAATAACACATAAAAAGAACAATAATAAACATGAAAAAAAAAAGAACATCAAAGTGCTAAATTAATATTGCTATTATTAATATTGGTCTGTTTTAAGCAGCAGGTTAACAGGTCCTTCCATTTAAAAAAAAAAAAAAAAAAAAGAGTAAACATTTGACAGATAACAAATTAATAAACATAAATTAATAAAACACAGAATTTAAATAGTTTCATCATCACATTTTAAAATAATAATTCATTTCATTTCTAAGATTGCTTTGACTGTCTCCCTCTAGTGGCAGGTCCGTGTATTGCTTCTGTCCGTCATCGAAGAGGCAACAGAATAAACCTGAGGACAGTGGTGGACCCAAAAACCCGGGGGAGGTCTACACGAGCCGAGTCCAGCCTGCGAGACGCCCGAGGACCTGGGCACCTCCACCTGAGAGCCGGCGAGTATTGCCTTTTTTTTTTTTTTTTTTTAGCCGAAGCAGCAGGTGCGAAAATTACACAAGAGCTTTAAAAACGACGTTACAGACTGTTAAAGGTGCACTATGGAACTTTTTTTCTATTAGGGAGTAACAATACCCGAAATATCGTGATATCGTATCGTCAAAAATCTCACAATAATATCGGATTATTAAGTTCCTTTGCTTAAATACGTGGTTTTATAGAAGCAACATCTTATAAACACCGGGAACTACATTTCCCATGATTCATTTCAGCGCAAACACGAAGAGATATGTTTTTGATTTGAATTCTTGGGATTATTATGGAAAGGCGAAGCTCTAGATTTACCGGTCAGTCTTCGTTCCTACTCTCACCTCTGGTCATGAGCTCTGGGTAGTGACCGAAAGGACGAGATCGCAGATACAAGCGGCAGAAATGAGTTTCCTCCGCAGGGCGTCTGGGCGTCTCCCTTAGAGACAGGGTGAGGAGCTCAGTCACACGGGAGGAGCTCGGAGTAGAGCCGCTGCTCCTCCACGTGGAGAGGAGCCAGTTGAGGCTCGGGCGTCTGTTCTGATGCCTCCTGGACGTCTCCCTCGGGAGGTGTTCCGGGCATGTCCCACCGGGAGGAGGCCCCGAGGAAGACCCAGGACACACTGAAGGGACTATGTCTCTGGGCTGGACCTGGGAACACCTCGGGGTCCCCCTGGAGGAGCTGGAGGACGTGTCTGGGGTGAAGGAAGTCTGGGAGTCCCTGCTTAGGCTGCTGCCCCCGCGACCCGGCCCCGAATGAGCGGACGAGAAAATGGATGGATGGATTATTATGGAAATAATTCACACCAAAATCTTGTCAAGGTATTTTAAAAGCAAAAACGTGTCCAATCTACAGTTATATCAGCCTCTTCAAAATATCACAATAAAATAAATATCGTACCGAGAGATTTGGACATCGTTACATCTCGAGTTTCTACGGACATGCCACTGTTTTGCCTGTTACGCAGTGCACCTTTAACTCTACGTTTGACCCAGAGTCTGAATTATCTTAATTATCAAAAGTATATATAGAAAAATGGGCGGAGATAGGGGGTAGGTGAAAACTGGAACTTTCTAAGCAGGATTAATCAAACATGAAACAACTGATTTACAACTAACTAACTTAACTAATCTCTCTTCTAACATGGCTAAAAGGTCTTAAATGACCATTTTACACAGATTATAGACGTACATTTAAGGATTTTGTTTGTTTTTTTTAAGGAAAATTTGTTCTTTCCATCGTTTTATTACTACATATCTGTCTAGTTTTAAGTATTAACATCTGTCAAGAAACTTTTTAGAAATCTTTTTAGTGTTTAACTGAGATCGTCGCAGGTAAGAAGTGTTTTGAAAGTTACATAGTGCACATTTAATCGGCAGATGTTGTAGATAAATATAGCGGGATAATAATGGACTTCGTCACTTACAAAAGCGACCAGGTTCGACATTTGTGGATTTTTCTTTTGGATAATTCTTAAGTAGAGTTTAGTGGATACAGCAGGAGGAGCTCATTTGTCAAAACAGCCGATAAAAATCTACAAGGAAAAGCAACATTTCGTAGTTGGTTCACTTCTTGGGTTCTTTTCTTTACCTTGCTGCCGTCTTCAGAACCGTCGCGACCCGTGTTGTTGTTTTGTTGTTGTTTCTGAGTCTTTAAGAAAAACCCCAAGAAGTTAACGTAATGAACAGACAAAATGAAAGTTTTTGCGTAGTTTTGCAGCACACAGCCCTGGGACACCGCACAGACGCTCCACTCGCCACACGCTTACAGTGATAAAGGGTTGTTCTTTCGAGACCGAGCACTTAAAATCCCTGGATGCTCCTCCACATTCGCCTGCAGTACTCAGAAGGGATGCAACGATACTCGGTATAAGGTCAAATCGTTCGATACTGGTGCCACGATTCGATACGCGTGTCGATACCCTCCACGTGTTGTCATTTCTTTTAGTCCGAAAGGAAAACGGTTCTCTTGGCGTCCTCCTCAGATGCAGCAAGAAAACAGCTCCATAGAGACTTAAAGCTGAAATATTCTAACAGAGGGTTTGATCTTTCTGTCACTTTTTATTTTACGTTTATAGACTCAGGAATGACGAAGATATTAACGTTTAAATACTTTAGAATCACTTTTTGCTTCACTTCAAATTTAATCAAATGTGCTCGTAGTCGAACCGAACGTCACTTGTGACAAACACAATCTTTTTCTCAGACTCTGTCTCTAAGTTTGACTCTTTAAACAGTCTGTGAGACGTTTCTGTGTAATTTAACAGAGTTTTAGTGTCCAGACGTGTGACGCAGCGAGAAAATGATCAAATCATCAAAAACACCGGCTCGAATAAGTCTGATCCCGTCAGATCTCAGAAGCTCAGCAGAGTCGCGTCTGGTCTGGACTTGGACGGAGACACTGGGAAAATGAGGAGCCACAGGAGGCGCCGGTGGAAAAAAATGTCGTTGTGTCTTTAGGCAAGACACTTCATCCACATTGCCGAGTATGATAGTGGTGTGTGTTTATGTGAGTGATGTTGGTGGTGGTCGGAGGGACTCGTGGTGCAGATTGGCAGCCTCGCCTCAGTCAGTCTGCCTAAAGCTGGCATGTCCAAACTATGGCCCGTGGGCCAAATGTGGCCCTCAAACTAATTTTTCTTGGCCCTCAGGCTTCCAGATGAATTGGCCCAAATGACCTTGCATCAATTAAAAAAACTTTATACTGCAATTTTTTTAATTTTTTTTTTAAATCTACCTTGACAAAGCCGATATTTGATATTTCATTTGTGGTTTTAAGGATTGTAGCATGAATAAAGACTCATTCTAACGCCTCTTCTTTGATGCTGTTTAAATCCAGACTCAAAACATTTCTGTTTAACTGTGCATATAACTGAAAGGTTTTCATTCCGCACTCTTCTCTCCAATTTAAGTCTCTCTTTTTTTTTTTTTTTTATCTTTATAATTATTTAGGTTTTGATTTGTTTTTATTATGATTTTAATGTATTTCTTATTCTGTAAAGCACTTTGAATTACTTTGTATACGAATTGTGCTGTACAAATAAACTTGCCTTGTTAAACATGCACATATTTCAATTATTCGCTGTATTGAGCTCCAGTCTACGGCCCTCGATCGTCCCTCTGCTTCGTCTGTGTTTAGATCTGTGGCTCTTGATGAAAAAAGTTTGGACACCCCTGGACTAAAGGCAGCTGTGGCTACAACAGCAGTTTACCACCACCGGGTGTGGAGTGAATGAATAATGAACTGTAAAGTGCTTTGGGCGTCTTGAAAGGTGCTATACATATAAATGAATAAATAAATATAAATGCAATGATTAATAAATGAATTAAAAAAGTAAAGTCTGATAGTGTCACTCCCCTACAGTCTGTATTAAGAGTTTCTGTATTGTAAAATATAAAACAGCCTGAGAAAAGCTCTGTTCTTATTTTCACTAAATAAAAATTCTGAGCTGTAAATGATTGAACCAAATGAACTAAAACTCCTTCACATATAGGTGAGTTTCAGCTGACGTCATTGTTATTAAAAGCCCGCGTTGCTGCTGGGAAATAGTTTGGTCGGAGGCAAGAAACACGGTAGCGTCAAACACAGTGCGTAACCTCGCGTATTTATCCCCGATAATGGTAAATTCCTGTTGCATTATCGGACGCACAAATAGAAGCACGGAAGAAGGAACAAATCAAACATCCGCAGAGCAAACGTAGAAGATCCTAACAAACCGTGGACTCCAACAAGTTCAACAACACATCGAGACTCTTGGAGGTTTTCATCTTTTCTGCTGTGAATGGCCCAGGAGTTTCCACCAAGTCATTGTGGATATCGCCAAAGTGAATATTTGTCCAGGTAGTTGGTGATTCTGACCAGAAATTTGGTTTGGTCCACCTTTTGTCGGGGTTGAAAAGGGTGATTTGTCGTCCGTCGATGCTTATGACCAATTTCTGGTCAAATGGTCTTGGGTCCTCTGCCGTTAGAGTGGATAAATAACCGGGATCAATACCCTTTACGTGCTTTCTCGCTCCGTCCGTCATGTTGAATTAGTGTTTCTTGCCGTCGACCAAAATAATTCCCAGCATGCGACGCGCGCTTTTGTCAACAATGAAACTCGCCTGTAAACTTTAATTGTACAGTGGTTCTGCTGTAGTGTTTTGTGTTTGTTTCATTAGCATCTTAGTGTTTTTATATTTTACTCAGAAAAATTGACATGAGATTTTTTTCCCGCGTCTTAAAACGTATCGAAATCGAATCGATATCGTGACCCGTGTATCGAGATACGCGGGAAAAACCGTATCGTTGCATCCCCCGTACTCAGGTTGGTCCGCTCCACATGGTCACAGTCCTGGTTCGATCCTGAGATGTCTATGATACTCAAAATATCAACTGGAATAACAAAAACAAAACAAAACAAACAAAAAAAATAAAATAAATCACTTGTTTTTTTCTCTTTTTTTTTGCCGTTTACTCCATTAAAACAAACGGGAATGGCGCGGTTTAGCTCTCCATGCGGTCGCGCGCTAGCATTAGTCGTCCGAGCGCCATGCCGGCACAGCTCAGCGAAAAAGTTCTACAAAACAACGGAGAGTTTGTTTTTTTTGTTTTGTCTGCGTTTGTTCATGCTGGTGTTCATACTGTTAATTCAAGCGTTCACTTTTTTTCCGGGCCACAGTGCAAAAAACGTGGGAGAGCTTTGGGAGGCTAGCTAAGCTCATGGAAAGCTAAAAATGGTTGTTCAGACGGGCGAGTCACAGTCGGGGTTTCAAATGCCTTGTTTAGTCTTTTTTTTTTGTTTTTTTTGTTTTGTTTTTTTTTCACGCCCAACCACCTATGGTACAATATCTGCTATTTACAAGATTATCCTGAATTTTCCTTCAAAACTCGGACAAAAATAAACGTATGAATGCTTAAATCTACTGTACAGTTTCATTCAAAAGGGGGGGATCCCTGCCATGGGTCGCCCGGATGCCAAGTGAGCGGAGATGGAAGAGAGCGCGGGGAGGGTTGGGTTGGGTTGGGGGCGGGGCCTGTTCTTCGGGAGACTGATTGAGAGTTTCGTTATTGCTGAGCAGAGGGCATCCAGACAGGAGGAGAGCCCGGAGGAAGGAGCACCCCGTCGACTCGAGAAGGACGAGCCCGTGAGCCTGTTTACCGCGAGGAGGGGGAGGAGGAGGGGGCCCCGTGAGCCCCGTTACCACGAGGAGGGGGGGCCCTTGTTGTTCCTGATGGTGGCGTCGGAGCATTCGGCCTCGGAGGAGTCGCAGTCCGAGTCTCCGAACTGCAGAGGGTTCTGAAAGCAGAGCACACAGGAGCAGGTTAAGGTCACGTTTACACTGAAACGAATCACCGAATCGGAAACTATTTGCGCCGTTTCTGTGCCTGTTTTCTATCCACACGGTAACAAGAAACCGCCTGAAACGCTGGTCACATGACTAGGCTACAGAAGCCGAGAGGGGTCACAACAAACGCAAACACCGCAACAAATACAAATGCAACAACACAACAAAAAGCCACAACGGAAATGACCGCGGGACTCTATTTTAATGGCAAACGCCACAACACAAACGCAAATGCTGCAACACATTAAAAAGCCACAACACATTAAAAAGCCACAACGGAAGTGACCGCGGGACTCTATTTTCTGACGGACCGATCAAGCGGCAAGTGAAGAAGAAGAACTACAACGTGAAAAGTAAAGGAACGGAGAAGTTGGAAACGTAAGTAAAAGTAATTTATTGTTTTATCATTATTCGTTTCACATTGTAGTTCTTCTTCTTCACTTGCCGCTTGATCGGTCCGTCGGAAAATAGAGTCCCGCGGTCATTTCCGTTGTGGCTTTTTTTTTGGTTTGTTGTGGCTTTTTGTCGTGTTGTCACATTTGTATTTGTTGCGGCGTTTGCGTTTGTTGTGACCCCTCTCGGCTTCCGTACTAGGGCTGGCGTCACGACGTCACGTGGGCGGTAAAAACAAAGAAGTGCAGCACCGTGTCTGAAGTTGCAGCAGCCGATTTCGAGCCGAGGAACATGGCAAACTTGAAAGTCGTAAGTATTTCTAGTGCCGCTGTTTCCCCTTTGTCTCTGGTTTGTTTAAACTGTTTTCCGCAATATCGTCACATGACCGATGTCACGAACCCAGAGAATCAGGAAGGAGCAAATCACAGTGACGCGGTTCAACAAGGACACGACTTGAGCTCCTACATCAGAGTATCAACGTTTTCAGGCGTCCACACAGTCAAGGATCAGATCTGTACGAACATGAATTCGTAGGAGCTGCAGGCACCAGATCGTTCCGTCTCCGGATCCGTTTTCCATCGGATTAGTGTGAACGAACACTGCATCCACAACGAAAACAACTCGAATACGAACTAGTAAGACAGATGTTTCAATATGGATTTTTTCAGACGATATTCATACACTCAGAATCTGAGGGAAAGTCAACTAACTGCAGGTTGAACACATCCATGGAGGAACCGTTCAATCAATGGTAAAGGTTCTTTCTGTCTTCAGTTTTATACTGTTAAATATAATAGTTTTTGACAGACAGGAGCTTTACACGTTTCAGCTCCTTCAGTGTCTGACAGAAAGAATTTATATTTAACAACCAAACCGTTCATTTTAATGTAGACCAGCTGCTTCAACAACTACAAGAGCAGCCAAATACTGACAGAGACATGGAAAAGAAGAAAGTGGTTCAACCGACTCAACTTGAATAAACAGCCAAGAATGCCAATAGCTACATGCTACCATACTCGCACCACCTGCTGTACTTCAACCTCAGCAGACCAGTCTGGAGTAACACTACGTCAACAACATCTGCTGAGGCTCAAAATGACTCAACTTGAATTAGATGTGCTTAAAATACACAGATTCCACCAGAATGTGGAGAAAGTGTTCAGATCAGGACCACCACAGCTGAAGACGTTTACCTACTAGTGCTAGAAGAAGGTAACCAGGCTGGTGCCATCTAGTGCCTCCACTCAATTTCATTTCTCTCCACGGACTAGATCAGGAATCAGAATACACTAGACGGTTCGCAAAAACCCCAGAAGTGTGAGTTCAGGCACCAGCCAATCAGAGAAGAGCCAGATATTCAGTGTCGGCAACGATTCCCGAGATCGATTAAAGCCGGAACAAAAAGAATGTTTGGTGAATTTTATCAAGGGGAAAGACGTTATTGTTCTTCTTCCTACAGGATTTGGAGCATTACATACGTCATGACCAAACAGCAGCGATTGGTTAAATTTAAAAAGTACCCGCCTACTGAGAGAGGACGAATCCTAATGCTGCGAGGTCACACGGTTTCTACAAAGTGAAACCGGTTGATGAATCAGTCTAATAATGCTCACTCTTGTACACTGCGCACCTTTGGCACAACTACAAGAAAAAGAGTTTGACATTGGCCTATGACGACTCTTTGAGAATCTTCCTGAAGCTGCCGAGGTTCTGTAGACCACTGAAATGTTTGTAAACTGTGGTGTGAGACTCTGTGTCGTCACGATCAGATGTTGTATTTATTTATATATTTATGTGTAGAGCCAAGAATCTGAGCAATCAAATCATTGAAGCTTTAGTGTGTCTTGTGACGAGCTCTGTCAGATTCTCCTCTGAGCTGTGGAGACACTGGAGCTTTTGTCTGTAAACATTATAACACTGCACTGGGGCCCGGTCAAGCAGAAGTAAACAGCAAGGCCAGAAATTCAAGTTAATGCATCTGATATAAAAATGTATTGAACAGATACATATGTACTCTAGTTTATGAAACTGTTGACCTTTTTTCTGTACCATTTTTGGTTCTAAAGTTCCATCCGTTTTAAACAGACCATGTATGAAACATGGAACAAAAATTATTTCCCAAATTTCAAAGACCTGAAAATCATGTAAATAAATGGATGTATTTCATCATATCTTGTGTTATTCCATCTTTGAACTGTTAATGAAGGTACAGGATTTTTTTTTTTTTATGTATTTAAAATGATAAAAATGTTCTTGGAAGGACTGACATATTTTATAGAAATAATTTATTTCATTTTGAAGTAATATTAAAGTTTTCAGAAGAAAAAAGCCACAAATGATGTAAAATCCTGCACCTTCTACTTGTTTGTACAATTTTCCCTCCGTTACTTTTCCCTCCGTTACCATGACCTTTCTTAATAAAAAATCTCATGAGTCAAAAAGTAAGAGGTTTTTCAACCTAATCTTGTACCATATGGTAGAAAACTATATGAAGTAAATATTCAAACCAGTTTGTTAAGGATATGTAAGTGAGAACCAAGAGTTATCACTGTTTGGATTTATTGACCAAAAAGTGCTGCATATTTCATTCCCTCCGTTACCAACATGAGTTTTTAAATTTTTTGTCAGCAACTTGAAAGAATCTCACAGGTTTAACTTGACCCTGTTGGAGTGTAACTCTTTCCTACATTCTGATACTTTACTTATTTCAATAGTTCCTCTAGTTTCTGAATAAGAGACATTTGAATGTCAAAAATCTGACCCTGTTTCCCTCCGTTAACACTTGACCGAACCCACTGTATTTAACTTTTTATTCTTACTATTTTCTTTTTAACTTCTTTCTTATTTACTATGAACCCCAGATATTACGTGTTCTTAATAAAGACTGAATTGAATTGAATAATAAGAAGGGCCAATGATTATGAAAACATTTTTGCTGCCTAGAAAATCTCCAGCAGTGAGTCACACAGGACTCACACAGTCTGACACACACACACTCAGCAGAGCTCTGACCTCGTAGCTGTGTTCGTCTGAGCAGAGTTTGCCCAGAGAGATCTGCGTCTTGACCCTGCGGACGGCGCACTCTTTGTCGGACAGACCGTCAGACTGCGTGGAGATGTCGATGGGGATGTCGGGGGTGTGGGACAGCAGCTCGTCCAGGTGCTCCTCCTGACTGGCGCTGAGCCTCTCCAGGGGCCCGCTGTGGGAGTGCTCGCTGGTGTTCCCCTCCTCCCCGTCAGACACAGACAGGTTCTCCGAGCTGAACGTGGAGTACGACTGGAAGCTGCTCATACAGCGGTGAGGCCTGGAGGACACACACACACGGGCGTCAGATGAGACTTAACGGTCCAGAAAAATACCACGACCAAAGTAATAAGATAATAAGATGTGAGTGAGTTTTACCTCTGTCGCCGTGGAAACTCCACCTCACTGTCCACCTCTCCTTCCTCTTCTTCTGAAGAGTCGTCGCCCTGAGACACAGACACAGGGTCAGACAGGAACATACAGGGAGAAAATGGTTTTAGATCACGTTTATACAGGGAAAGGTTTTCATTCCACCCGCGGTCACTTCCGTTGTGGCTTTTTAATGTGTTGTGGCTTTTGTATTTGTTGCGGCGTTTGCATTAAAATAGAGTCCCCGCGGTCATTTCCGTGGTGGCTTTTTTTGGTTTGTTGTGGCTTTTTGTTGTGTTGTCGCATTTGTTGTTGCGGCGTTTGCGTTTGTTGTGACCCTCTCGGTGTCTGTACTGTCTGCTCCGTGTGTGTTTGTGTGTTCTGCGGGTGGTGCGGCTTTGTAATTTACTGAAGTCGTACTGGGACACCTCAGTGGATTCGTGTATGGGGCGCTCTGAATTGACGTTTTTTGATGCGTTTGGAGGCTTACGAGCGCGTCAAACAGCCCGTAAAATACGGCAAGTAACATGTTGCATATATTAGAGCTGGTGAAAGTTTAAAGTTGGAGACATGTACCTTCCTGAGTGGTCTGATGGTGCGGGGCAGGGGGGTGGGCACCGGGCTGGAGGGTTTGAACCCCTCCGGATGCCCTCCCACAGGCCTGTCCTCTGCCTCTGAGCCCGCGTCTGTGGTGGGCGCCGCCGGGGCCGGGGTGCCGTCCTGGGGGTAGGTGGGGACGTCCAGGAGGTTGGAGGAGGGCGGGGGGACCTGGCACCGCTGGCAACCGGGGAAGGGGTGCGCCTGGCAGGGACACAGAGACCCGGCCCCCGCGCTCGGGTTGGAGCCCGTAGACGGGGTCCTCTGGCGCGTCTGTGCGTCCACCGCCGTGGAGATGAGGTCGGGATTGGACCCTGACACGCGGCGCTGCATGTGGTCGCTCTGCGGGCTCCGGAGCGCCGCCGCGGGGCCGAAGTAGCGCAGGTTGTTGGCACAGTTAACGACCGCTTCCTCTCGGCCACGCAGAGGGAGGAAGGGCCCGTCGCGTCCCTCTCTGTGGGGCTCCTGGAGCGGGTGCAAAGGGTCGTGAGCGGGGTCCTCCAGGGGCCCCGCGTTGGGTCTGAGGGCCCCGGGGAAGTCGCTGTGGCTGCCTTTGCTGTTGGCGCGGCGGTGGCGAGGCTTGCTCCTGTAGCGGGACTTTCCTGGGGGAGTGGAGACTTTGGGGCTGGCCGACAGAGGAGAGGGGGCGGGGAGCGGGTCCAGGCTGGGGATGCCCTCAGAGCGCAGCAGGTCCGGCCTAAAACACAACACACAAACATACAACGTTCATGTTTGAATCACAAAACTCTTCAATCGTCAAACAATCGTCCTCTAAACCTCCTGCACCTCTTAGTCTGGGGCAGTCCGGGCTTGTGGGACAGGCTGCTCTTCTTCTTGATGAGTTTCTCCACAGCGTTGGGCCTCACGATGGGTCGGACCAGGTGACGCTTGTACGAGCCCGGGTACTTCTTCTCCACCGCCTGCTCTCGCCTGGAGCAGCACAAATACTCAGTCATCCATTTTAAAGAGGACAAAACTACATGAGAAAATTGAACGGTATCTACTGTTCTGGGAAAATATGTACCATATTTTTCGGACTATAAGTCACACTTTTTCATGGTATTGGTGGTTCTGTGACTTATATATTAAAATGTTCACACTAACAGCCACGAGAGGCTCTAGACTTGTGTATCAATTTTCTGCGCATGTCTCCTGCAGAAAGAGCCTCTGTCCTGCTGCAAGTCGTGAAATATGCATCAAAAAATGGTAATCGAGCAGCAGAAAGAAAGTTTGGAGTGAGTGGGGATGGAGAACACAGCTTCACGGCAACTGAGAGGATGCACCATGCAAATTTCACTGAATGGATCGACAAACCATGGAAAAAAAAAGTGTGACTTATATTCCAAAGAATACGGTAATTTCACAACCTCAGTGATTCCCACACAGTTAAACTATGTTAATGTAAACACACGAGTCTGGTCATCTGGATCTAAACTGTGCAGGGTCTCTGTCTGTGTCGTCACAATCCTGGGAATGAAACTTTCCTGAAGTCACTGGATGGATGGACAAAGTCTGGACTTCAGTGACACCGAAACCATCCTGTCGAGATTCAAAAAGGCCCAAATAATTCTAAAAATTAATAAATCTAATAATTCTCCTCTGGAGGTCGAGGCAGAGTTGCTCAGAATTGACACTGCAAATTCAATGGAATCAGTGGATTTAGTGATTTGGAGTGAGATGGAGAGTTTGGTTAAACTTGTTCTGTTGTTTTGTTATAGTTTATCTGAAGAACTGTTCATATGTGACGTTAACAGTCTGTTGTTCTTCTCTTCTATTGTTTTTACTACAACTTGACTTTACACAGGAAATGTCTGCTCCTGATCTCTCATTTTAGAAAAATATATTTTTCCCAAAAAGTGCGACTAATGGCTACGTTCAGACTGCAGGGCTTAATACTCAATTCCGATTTTTTTGTGAAATCCGATGTTTTTGCGAGGTCGTTCACATTTCCAATTAAATGCAACTTGTCTGTGACTCCAGTGTGAACATTAAACGGCCCGAAAGTGTCCCACATGTGACACTGGAGACACGAGCACGAGCGTGCTCTGTGTTTACGGAAGTTGTCCAAACATGGACGCAGCATCGAGCACCTGGAGATTTTACAGTTCCGGTTTCCGCCTGCTTCAGCACAGAACAGTGACATTTGTGTCTTGTTGATAACGTGTAGGTGGATGAATGCACTTTGGCCGTTCACACTGAAGTCACATGTCAAAAGATCAGATATGTATCAGTTTCATGAGGAAAAATCCAAGTGGCCTGGGTCACATTTGAAAAAATCAGATCTGTGTCGTTCAGACTGACATTAAAAGATCGGATACAGGAACATACAAACCAAAAAATCGGATTTGGGTCACTTCAGGCTGCAGTCTGAACGCAGCCTTATAGTCCGGTGCAACATTTTTTTCTTCTTCATTATGCATTTATTGGTTGGTGCAACTTATACTCCGGAGCGACTTACAGTCCTAAAAATACAGTAACTGTAATGTACTGTAGTATTTTATTTAATTGTATTTATTCATTTGTCTTTTTTAATTAAGCATCTTTAGTGCAACTTTAATTATAAAAGAGTGAGAGTCTTACTTCATGAGCTCCTTCTCGCGCACCTCCAGCTGCAGCATGATGGCGCTCAGCTCCATGTACAGGTTGTTGGCTCGCTCCAGTTTCCTCTCGTAGTGCTCCCGGATGTCCAGAGCGTGTCTAACACACAAAACACACAAAACACACACAAAACACACACACAAAACACACACAAAACACACACGAGGGACAGTCAGAATGAGGGAAACGCATCGAGATCGTCTGTATTCAGTATCAGCAGGAGCGTGTGCAAAATTATTGTTGCACTGGTGGTTTTCAGATTCTAAAATGTGCTGACGTCAGACTCCCAGACGGGGGCAAGAAGCAGATTTTCCTATTGATCACTTTGTACGTTGCCAAGAAATATCCAGAAGGTAAATGCACAAATGCTGAACCTGAACATTTCTATTAGTGACTCACTGTATTTTGACACAAATCTGCATTTTAACAAGATTTATTTCAGCTGCTCCCCCGTCTGTGTTGAATATTCTTGGCTTACAGAACGAAACTCAGCAATAGTCACAACTTAAAAGCCACTACAATGTTAAAATAAAAATAAAATCCAGCTTTATCTGTAATTTACTTATTTTTTAAAAGAGATTCAATCATTTCTAATAAGTTTTTTAAAGGAGAGGTCTACAGTCAGTCCTCTGTGGTTCAGTCTTGGTTTAGCACGGCTTGGCTCCTGTTTTGGTCCTGGTTTGGTTCCGGTTTAGTCCTAATTTAGTCCTGGACACAGCTAGAGGCTAGAGCGTGTCCGTCCCGGTTTAGACCTGGTTTAGTCCAGGTTTAGTCCAGGTTTAATTCGGTTTTAGTCTTGCATCAGTCCTGATTCCGTCCTGGAGTAGTGCTGTTAGTCCCAGGTTAAGTTCTAGTTCAGTCCCGGTTCAGTCCCGGTTCAGTCCCGGTTCAGTCCCGGTCCAGTCTCGGTCCAGTCTCGGTCCAGTCTCGGTCCAGTCCTGGTCCAGTCTCCGGTTTTCTCCTGGTTTTCTGCTGGTCTCCTGTCAAGTGATCAGGACTGAGACCAGGACCAGACCTGGACCAGACCAGAACTGAGACCAGGACTGAGACCTGAGTCCTGTTTTAGTCCTGGTTCAGTCTTGGTTTAGTCCTGGTTTCGTCCTGGATTAGTCTTCGTTCAGGCCTCGTTCAGTCCCGATTTAGTCCTGGTTCAGTTCCGATTTACTCTTACTTAAGTCCTCGTTCAGTCCCAGTTAAGTCTTGGTTCAGTCCTGGTTTTCCCCTGGTTTAGTCCGCGTTCACTCCTGGTTCCATTTTAGTCCTGATTCCGTCCTGGAGTAGTGCTGTTAGTCCCGGTTAAGTTCTAGTTTAGTCCCGGTTCAGTCCTGGTTCAGTCCCGGTTCACTTGGTTCAATCTTGGTTCAGACATGGACTGTCAGGTGGTCAGGACTGAGACCAGGACCAGACCTGGACCAGACCAGAACTGAGACCAGGACTGAGACCTGAGTCCTGTTTTAGTCCTAGTTCAGTATTGGTTTAGTCCTGTTTTCGTCCTGGTTTAGTCCTCGCTCAGTCCCCATTTAGTCCTGGTTCAGTTCCAATTTACTCTTACTTAAGTCCTCGTTCAGTCCCAGTTAAGTCTTGGTTCAGTCCCGGTTTTCCCCTGGTTTAGTCCGCGTTCACTCCTGGTTCCATTTTAGTCCTGGTTCAGTCCCGGTTCAGTTCCGATTTACTCCTACTTAAGTCCTTGTTCAGTCCCAGTTTTATCCCGGTTCAGTCCTCATTCAGTCTTGGTTCTATCCCGGTTCTAGCTTGGTTCAGTCCTGGTTCAGTCCTGGTTCAGTCCTGGTTCTATCCCGGTTCTAGCTTGGTTCAGTCCTGGTTCAGTCCTGGTTCAGTCCTGGTTTACCCCTGGATTAGTCCTCATTCAGTCTTGGTTCAGTCCCGGGTCTATCCTGGTTTAGTCCTCGTTCAGTCCTGGTTCAGTCCTGGTTCAGTCCTGGTTCAGTCCTGGTTCAGTCTGGTTCTAGCTTGGTTCAGTCCTGGTTCAGTCCTGGTTTACCCCTGGATTAGTCCTCATTCAGTCTTGGTTAGTCCTCGCTCAGTCCCCATTTAGTCCTGGCTCAGTTCCAATTTACTCTTACTTAAGTCCTCGTTCAGTCCCAGTTAAGTCTTGGTTCAGTCCCAATTTTCCCCTGGTTTAGTCCGCGTTCACTCCTGGTTCCATTTTAGTCCTGGTTCAGTCCCGGTTAACTCTTGGATCAATCCTAGTTCAGTCCTGGTTTACTCCTGGATTAGTCTTTGTTCAGTCCTGATTTACTCCTGGTTCAGTCCCGGTTCAGTTCCGATTTACTCCTACTTAAGTCCTTGTTCAGTCCCAGTTCTATCCCGGTTCAGTCCTCATTCAGTCTTGGTTCTCTCCCGGTTCTAGCTTGGTTCAGTCCTGGTTCAGTCCTGGTTCAGTCCTGGTTTACCCCTGGATTAGTCCTCATTCAGTCTTGGTTCAGTCCCGGGTCTATCCTGGTTTAGTCCTCGTTCAGTCCTGGTTTAGTCCTGGTTTTCTACTGGTTCAGTACTCATTCAGTCCTGGTCCAGTCCTGGTCCAGTCCTGATTCAGTCCCGGTCCAGTCCCGTTAGTCTCCTGACCTGAGTTCGTCTCTGCGTCGGCGGATCAGCTCCTCGTCGAGTCTGTGGATACACGTGCCCTCACTCTTGATCTTCTCAAAGTGCTTCTTCACCTCCTCCCTCCACGCTCCCTGAAAAAAAAAAAAAAAAAAAAAAAAGCATTTTAAAGGTGCACTGTGTAACTTTTCTAATGGAGGAACCTCTCCCTACTTGTCTCCATGTTCCTAACCCTCACATTAAACATTTCCATCTAGTTTTTATTCATGACAGGTGTTTCTTTTGCTCAAAAATACAACCATTCCTTCTGTGAATTGGGACGCCTCTCCACAGATCTGACCTCCAGGACCGGTATTCGCCCAGATACTGACCTGAGACTTGAAGTAGGTCTCCTGAGGGGTCCCGAGAACATCAGAACATCTGCTGAGGCGATGTCCAGGTGCAGGAGGATCTGTCTGAACGACGGTCGGTTCCTCGGCTTCCCTTGCCTAAAAACACAAAAACCAAAAGTACAACACTGATACTGAGGTTTAGTCCAGGTCCAGTCCAGGTTTAGTACTGGTTCATCTGTGGTTCAGTCCTGGTTTAGTCCTGTTTTAGTCCTGGTTTAATGCTCTTTTAGTCCTAGTTCAGTCCTGGTTTAGCACTGCTTGGATCCCATTTTAGTCCTGATCTTAGTCCTGTTTTAGTCCTGGTTTAGTCCTGGTTTAATTCCATTTTAGTCTTGCTTCTGTCCTGATTCCAATCTGGAGTAGTCCTGTTTTAGTCCTTAGTTTTAATTCTGTTTGAGTCCTGGCTCAGTCCTGGCTCAGTCCTAGTTTAATCCTGGTTCAGTCCTGGTTTAGCCCGGGTTCAGTCCCGGCTCAGTCCTGGTTCAATCCTGTTCTGAGTCTTGGTTTAGTCCTGTTTTAGTCCTGGTTCAATCCAGGGTCAGTCCAGAGTCAGTCCAGGGTCAGTCCAGGGTCAGTCCAGGGTCAGTCCTGTTTTAGCCCTGGTTAATCCTGGTTTAGACCTGGTTTATCCCTGGTTCGGTTCTGATTCAGTTCATGTTCAGTCCTAGTTCAATTCTGTTTAAGTCTCATTTTAATCCTATTTGAGTTCTGGCTCAGTCCTGTTTGAGTCCTGGTTCAGGCCTGGTTTAATTCTGTTTTAGTCCAATTTTAATCCTGTTTGAGTCTTCTTTTAGTCCTGTTTGAGTCTTCTTTTAGTCCTGGTTTAGTCCTGGTTTAGTCCTGTTTGAGTCCTGTTCGAGTCCTGTCCGAGTCCTGTCCTGGTGTAGTCCTGCTTCAGTCCTGCTTCAGTCCTGGTTTAATTCAGTTTTAGTCCAATTTTAATCCTGTTTGAGTCTTCTTTTACTCCTGTTCAGTCCTGGTTCAGTCCTGTTTCAGTCCTGGTTCAGTCCTGGTTCAGTCCTGTTTCAGTCCTGGTTCAGTCCTGTTTGAGTCCTGGTTCAGGCCTGGTTTAATTCTGTTTTAGTCCAATTTTAATCCTGTTTGAGTCTTCTTTTAGTCCTGGTTTAGTCCTGTTCGAGTCCTGTTGAGTCCTGTGTAGTCCTGCTTCAGTCCTGGTTTAATTCAGTTTTAGTCCAATTTTAGTCCTGTTTGAGTCTTCTTTTAGTCCTGGTTTAGTCCTGGTTTAGTCCTGTTAGTCCTGGTTCAGTCCTGTTCGAGTCCTCAGTCCTGTTCAGTCCTGTCCGAGTCCTGGTTTAGTCCTGGTTTAGTCCTGTTTGAGTCCTGTTCGAGTCCTGTCCGAGTCCTGGTGTAGTCCTGCTTCAGTCCTGGTTTAATTCAGTTTTAGTCCAATTTTAATCCTGTTTGAGTCTTCTTTTACTCCTGTTCAGTCCTGGTCAGTCCTGGTTCAGTCAGTCCTGGTTAGTCCTGTTTCAGTCCTGGTTTCAGTCCGTTCAGTCCTGTTCT